GCCCGCAGAGAACTTCCACGTGCTTCAGGGGCTTCTGCCGGGCGGCGCCACGGCGGGAGCCCCGAAAGCGAGAGGAACTTCTCTGCGGGCGGCTGCAGCTGCCCCCACCCGCTCCTCCTGCCACGGCAAGCGGAAAATTCGATTAGAATTAGATTACTCACCAGTCAGCGCAGCTGCAACCTCTTTCATCTTTTGGCGAAAGGAAATGGAGACTCGCGCAGGAGTGCTGAAAATTTCCCATCCCAGCCAGCTCACTGATTGGCTGGACTCCAGGCCAATCCAATCAGTGAGCGGCAGGCTGGGCTGGCTTAAATTTGTAGGAGGTAAAAGGCTAAAAGCACGCTTTTTTTGGCGCTCGCCGCTCCCGCCCATCAGCTGCTAGCTTGCTGGGCTGGCTCATCTGGTAGGATAGAGAACAGAACGATGAGCCAGCCCAGCAAGCTAGCAGCTGATGGGCGGGAGCTGCGAGCGCCAAAAAAAACATGCTTTTTAAAAAAGCGTGCGGGACGCGGAAAAATGCATTGGAAAGCGGGGGTGTCCCGCCAAAAGCGGGACGTCTGGTCACCTTATACTAAGTGCTAGTAAAAAGTGTGGTTTGCTATCAGTTTATATTCTGGTGCCTTGCCCTGTCAGTGTTGGAGGGGCTGGTCTTAGAGATTCTTTGGTTGGAATGGCTATTGGCAGTTTCTTGATTGAGGTATTGATTGATTGTTGGCCTGATGTTAACCTTGGACTTAATCTATGCACATCTGGGTGCTGATTGCTGGTGGAGAGGTGCTTGGGTATTTTTGTTTCCCCTTTGGGTTGGTTGAATATCTCTTTTGCATAGTCTATAGATGTTGTTAATGTCTATGTATCCATTGATGGCTAATTTGTCAGAGTGCCAGACTTCTAGAAATTCCCTGGAGTTTTTGGATTTGGCCTGGTCTAGAATTGTCACATTTTCTCAATTGAAACTATGGCTGTGTATTGTGAAATTTTAAAAAAATCATCATGTTTTCTGACTGATGGTTAGTGTTCATAGAGTGCCTTGCATAAACCTGAAATATTATTTAGGGATATAATGTTAAATTATCCCTGAGCATAACACAAAGCATATTTTACAGAAAGGAAAAAAATAACAACAAAGCATAATGTTTCAAACAATAATAAAATATATGCCGAGTGAAGAGTGCCATGGTTTTAAATTACAGTTTTTACAGATAGAAACAGACCTGTATGTACATGAGAGATTGTTTATTTTTGCTTATCCCATAAATGATCAAGAAGATAATTTTATCTTGGCCTGTAATCCTGACTTTTGATGATTTGACTGATATTTTGTGAAGTGGACTACTACTTCCCTGTTGTCTGCTTCCCTGATGAAATTCATATATTTCGTTATTTGTGCTGCTGCAGTTTAACAATTTCACAGATCTGAAGTAACAGAACAAACCTTTATTGCACTTGTTTTAAAGTGTGTTATGCAATAAAAGTGTGATATGCTTAAGAATGGCTGTTAAAACTAAGCTATTTTATTCTTGAAGTTTTCAAAAAGGGGAAAAATTAAGATCTGGTTATCAACCGAGGCTATGGATTATATTGGACAATTTGTTGGTATGTTACCAATATATGTTTAGTTGAAAAGACTTACATGGTCATATATTTACACTGATATGAGCTCATGCATGAATAATCTCAATAGATTATTGTTTATCATATTTATGCTGTTTCCTATGTTCAGGAACTTTCACAACAGGTCTGCACTAATGTGTTGGGACAACTCTTTATTTAGATTTACATCTAAATTTTTCTTATTCAAGAGGGAAATGGAGAATGCACCAAAATGAATGATCAAGCACAGAATTATAGAAATCTCAATTCCGGATAACTAGACTTTGTGTTAAGAATTCAGTGACGTGCGGTGAAGACGAGTGAGGCAGCGGTGGTGGCTCCTCAGGGACAGTGACAGAAGGGGCTCCGGACACCTGCACCATCTCCTGCCTGTCTTCCGGGACTCGCCCAGCCCGGCATGTGGCATTTGAAAGTACATGCCGCCGCCATGGCCATACAGAGATATCTACTTTATGGCCTGAAGGCACGCTGGCACTTTAAGGTGCATGCCGCTGCGCCCCACCATAGAGTGAAACTGGCAGTTTAAAGTGCATGCCACTGCCCTGGCCATACAGCAGGACCTGCTGAATGGCCAGAAGGCACGCCGGCACTTTAAAGTGCATGCCACCTTGCCCCGCCATAGAGTGAAACATGTCCTGCTTTATGGCTGGGAGGCTTGCTGGCACTTTAAAGTGCATGCCGCCACCCCGGCCTTACAACGGGACCTACTGTATGGCCGGAAGCCGGCGTGTCCCTCTCTATGGAGAGGCACGGCGGCATGGCTTTAAAAAATAAAAAAGTGCCAGCTCGCGTGCCAGCAGAGGCTGGTAAAACACACACACACACACACACACACAAACACACACAGACACACACACACACACAAATTACTTATAATAAAACAAATTACAATTACTTACAAATAATTTTGAATTCCTCCCCCCTGGTCCTCCCTGCCTTCTCCCTCCAACCCACATACCTTTTTCAGCTGTGTCAGAGGATTTCAACTCTCCTCTTGTCCGCCATGATGAAAATGTAAAAAGAAAAAGGCAAGAGCTGCTCTAGCCAGGCTAGGATAGTTGCTGCTAGAGTCACCACGTGGATGACTCTGCTTAACTTTTTTAAAAAAACAAAGTGCCCCCTGTAGGAGGAGGCGAGAGAGCCACGTGCCTCCTTTGCATAAGGAATTTTTCGCCTTTTAACCCTTGCTTAACTCTGCTCAAGTAATCATAAAGCTAAAGTAAAGGAGGCCCGTTGTTCTCTCGCCTCCCCCTGCAGTTAAGCACTAACTAGAGTCATCCTCTGTGACTCTGGCAGCAACTACCTTCCTTTTAATTTTGTTTTTCTTTTCATCATGACAGTGGTGAGGCCCTGCCTCCCCTGCCTCCCCTGACTGCACATCACTGTAAGAATTCATTTGTTATATTAACATATGTAATCAGACATCTATTAGTCTTAATATTAAATGTATACTCAATATAATATAATCAGAAACTGACCTCAGGATAAACTTGTCACTGTACTAAAACTATACTTACATTTTTCAGACCAATAATCCCAGTGATCAAGATTTTCTCACACTCATTCCCCAATGTATGTGCTCATCAACTGGGGCGGGGGGGAGAGAGTTTTCTTCCTTCTCATTTTTGCCTAACCTTTCAAAGGCAATTTCTATTACCGAGTATTGTTTGTTAATGAATCATGTATTTTATTATCAACTTCACTTGACAGCTGTTGTTTACTGAATCCTGTCAGCATGTACAGAACAGACAGTAAAAGATTTAAAATTTTGCATGTTTCCCCAAATTAGTTTATAAATGCTTGTCTGCATCCTAGGGCTGGGCCTTTGTGAAATAAGCTTTACTGGATAGCAGCCGGCTGTTTTCAGAATTACTTCCTTCTAAAAAATGATGCTTAAAATTACGCATTAATTAGAATGTTGTAGTACTTGGGAACTTTAACGAATATATTTTGATGTTTTAAAAGACTCACAATTCTATAACTATCTCTCTGAATTATTACTGAATATATTTGTTAAAGTTGCCAAATACAACCAACACCTTATTCAGTGGTGTATATATGTATATATACACATATAGTTTTGAACTAACTCTGAATCACCATAAGCAGCAGAAGTATTTGTGAAAACTGGGTCACCAATATGAAACCCATGGACACTAATGTGCTTGCAGTTCCAGCCAATTCATTACTGCTTGCCTTTCTCTCTGCCTCACTGATGTTTTGTGATCAATAAGTTCCAGTTTAGTCCATGGATTTTCCCTTTTTTCCTCAATTTTCCTGGTTTTTACATGGTTTTGCCTGCTCAAATCACTTGATCACCTGATGCTTTTTATTGTGAAGTTAAGCATTGCAAGCTACCAATTAATTGGTCATCTTTAGAGCTAGGCAGAAAACAATTATAACAATTAAACAATTGTTATAACAATTAAAAACAATTATATATTCAATATTAAGTAAGTTTCTCTTGTCATAATACTCAAGTTATTATGAATACCTGCTGAGCAATAAACAGCATGCAAATACACACAGACAATACATTTTGTCTTCATTTCAGTGGTAGTCTATGAAATCAACGTGTACACAGGGACACAGCCAGGTGCCGAAACTAATTCGAATGTGTACATCACTATCTATGGAAATCAAGGAGATTCTGGAAAACGGAAGCTTCAGAAGTCAAGCACTAATAAAGTCACATTTCAGTGTGGCCAGGTAAAGAAAAATATACAAAACCTGATTAGACTCAATAAGTAATTGACAACACAATTGAATTAATGATTTAGGTAATTTTAATTTGAGTTATAAAGCTTGAAAAGCGTACGTTGGCTAAAACCAAGCACGACACTCAAGACAGATTTTCTGCATTGTGTAGGAGGATGTATCGACATACACAGACTCCATCATTTTAACCTGTGCATAAGGATTATATATACATCTATGCATTTATTTTTTAAAAAAACAAGGAGAATTTGTGATTTTAAATAGAGAAGTTGCTTGATTGTTCTCCTTCCTAGCACAGTTTGCATTTCCCACCTTTTTCCCTTGCTTATGAAACAGACACAATGATGTAAGAATGAGGGCAGAGGGCAAAACACTGGCTAGCTAGAGGAAATGTTGGTCAGCAAACTGAGAACTCTGTGCATGGAAAGAATGTCAATGTTGAGTATGCCTGAAAACTGAAGCAAGACTTTTTTAAATAAAATTTTGAGGTGGAGGTGGCATCTACAAGTTTGTTTCTTGAATTCAAGCAGGGCAAAGAGGTCAGAAATGAAGGGACAGAATGAAAATGTTTTTTGCTTATGCTGTGTTCTAAATTTAATTATCTTTTTTATTGTCTGCCATTTGTTAAAAAATAAATCTCTTCTTATTTTATTTCATGTCTTTTAATGAGGTGATATGGTTTGGTTATTTCATATTGTAGGTATTCTTACTGTCAGCTGCCTTGATCAGTTGTTGTTGTTGTTGCTGCTGCTGCTGCTGCTGCTATTATTATTGAAGGGAGAGCATATGTATGTGGCTAAATAAAAAAGGGGCTGTGATTGAGGCATGTTAGAATTTTTGTCTGAAATCTCCAATTATACAGCAAACATGCTGTGTAACCTTCAGATTGAGAAGGTTTTTGTGAAACTGTCAAAGTACCTCCTGACTATTATCATCACAAAGTAGTACTTTGTGATGTTGCTCTCCATTTTTAATCTGAGTTGTTAGATAGGCTTAATAATTTACTTTTTAAAAAAAGTTTCCAAAACTTATTCCTTAAGTCCAGCTACTGAAAGATTTAAATATTTGAGTAGAAGAGACGGTAAATTCCTCTAGATTCTTGGTTTAACCTTTGTTGCTAGTAGCAATGCCATAATACTAAGTTTCCTCTTTTGTTCAAAGGTAAGTAGGTAGCATTTAACTCCTAGTTTGATATAAAGCATATAGCAAGGAAGACGCAATAGAATATTCTGATATGAAAAGTGCTTGTTTGTTTTGTAATAAAACAGAGGGGAAAAGTGCCTGTCTGGAAAATGAATGTCAAGAACAAAATGGCATGGAATAGCTATTAAACTATCGAAAAGCTATTATGAAAAACCTATTTAAAAATTCTTGAGATGGTAGTTGTTAAGTAATGTATACATACTTTAGCAATTTCTAACAATACATTTGCACAATGAGTATGCATAATATAACAAATAATAATGTATGCTTTACATCTAATCAATCATTTCAAGGTCTGCCATTCACTGTTTGGATTGTACTGCTTTCCCCCACTTTTTGTTGTTTATAGACCGATGTCTTCTCTGTGACAGCTGTATCACTTGGAGTTCTGCATAAAATTGTCATTGGCCATGATGGAATTGGTCCAGGTAGAGCTTTTCTTCCATTGATGGATACATTTCAGGATCTCTTTTAAAGTGAATGTTGTTTTTATGTCTCATCCCACCTTTGAAGATCAGGCAAGCAGGACACACCTTTTTCCCCTCAAAAGAGTGGCTGAAAATCTGGGTGCGTCTTATACACTGAATACAGCATTTTTTGCCTCCTGAAACCCCATCCCTTCACCAAAATGGCCATTCATAGCCTTTAGGAAGCTTCCAGAGTGCTCCTGGGATCTGAGGAGAACAGAAATGAGTGAAAAATGAGCCGTTTTTTGTTCAATTTTGCTCCCCAGCCCTCAGGACAGTGGTGGGTTTCAAAAATTGTTGGAACCTCTCTGTGGGTGTGGCCTCCTTTGTGGGAGTGGCTTGCCATCCATGTGACCGGATGGAAGTGGTTTGCCGCCCATGTGACTGGATATGAAATTATGAATTAGTACTTATGTCGGTCCAAGTAGCTATTCAGAAGTTAGTGGTTAGAAGCAATTGTAAAGCAAGATATGAAATTAAAACCAGAAATATTTTGTTGGCTATTTGAAAGGGAGTATAATATATATTTAATTTTACACATGTTAGCAGCTGCTGGAATTGTGTTTGCACAACAGTGGAAAAACAAAGATATGTAAATGAATAAATATTACAATGTGCAGGAATAAATAAATTGACAATTAAAATCAAGAAGGCTTTGAATACTTTTTCATGTGGGATTGGTTTTAGCAATTGCCAACTAATGGAAACAGAAATTAGAAATCCAAAGGTATGAAAGAAAACACCCATTATGTAAGGAAAGGTCCCTAAAATGTATAAGGAAATATTACTAGATCATTATTAATGCATAGATAACTGCGGGACATTACACACCCACCAGTGGTGGGTTTCAAAAAATTTTGGAACCTCTTCTGTAGGTATGGCCTGCTTTCCGAGTCCACTGGTGGAACCTCTTCTAACTGGTTCAGTAGATTTGACGAACCGGTTCTACCGAATAGGTGCGAACTGGTAGGAACCCACCTCTGCCTCAGGAGCACTGTATAAGCCTCCTAAAGGCTATGCATGCCCTTTTTTCCCCAAAAATGGGCCCTTTTGTGCTTGTTTTTGCCCCCCACAAAGCACTCTACAAGTCTCCTAAAGGCTATTCATGCCCTTTTTTTGGAAAAAAAAGGGCTCCGTTTTCATTAAAAACAGGCCATTTTGGGGAGGTCTAAAGTGTGCTAAAACTTTTTTAAAAAAATTGCCTCTTCAAAATCTTGGTGCATTTTATTCTCCGCTGTGTCTTATACTCCGAAAAATATGGTATATTCTTGCAGGAACATAGAGCTTATATGTTTTCTGCATAATATATTTTATAAGGATACTATATTTATGGGAGAATATTAATAGTGGAAAGTCTGTTCATCAGCTTTCATTTTATCTAATTTTATATCCTTATTGAAATTTTCCTAATTTTTGGTTCATATAATATGTGGAGGCAAATATGCTGCTTCTCTTTCATATGTCACATTAAGCACTGTGATGACTCTATTTCTGCTTTCCCCTCTCCCCTGATTAGTAATGAGCTTGTGAAATCCTCTAATTCATTATTGCTACTTGCTCCTAGCATATACAAACAACATCAGTCTTACTAAACCTGGTAATTCCAGATGTTCTGGGATTTATAATTTCAGAACATCTGGACAGCTTGAAATTGGAGAAGCTGCATTAGCCAGGCTCTTGAAATATTGCAATTTGCTACCCCCAGGTACCAAAATATAAATACCACTGCTCATAACAGCCTTGCTGTTTAAATCTAACTGGAGATATAATTTAACACATCTGTAAAATATCAAAACTATAGAAGGCTGAATTGCAAGTATATATTTATAGGCATTAAGACGCAAACATATTTATCCCATAAAATGTGTATTGTATTTTATACTTCAAGAATTATATGGAATACCTATGTTGTCACTTATAAATTAAATAAGACAGTCAAGATAGAAGTGGCTCTTCAATCCAACCTACTGTACACTTGTTATCATTGAATTTCAGGTAGCGGATGGTTCCTCCAAAAGATTGTTATCAGATTTCAGGAGAAAGCAGTGAGTAAAGAAGAAGTAATTGAATTTCTTTGTAACAGGTATGCAACTGAGGAATGCCAGTATTTTAAATTATGTCTTTAAAGCCCTGGAGTTTTGAGAAGGTTGTTTAGGTGTTCTTCAATTCACATTTAGTACTGACACACAAAGTTCCCTTATCAATAGCATCTCTGTTATCTGACATGATTTGTCTTTTCCTGCAATGTGTTTCTATAACATGTTGTATTTATTTATTAGATGTATATTCCATTTTTCATTACTAGACTCAGTGTAGCATACATAGCTTTCCCTCCTCCTCCTTTTTTTCTGCTGTAGCTTTTAGCAAGCTCCCAAGGGTGAAGATAGACTAAAGATTTATCCTGGGATATCCAGTCCAATGTTTTAACCAATACACTTCATTTTGATCATGTTTTATGTTCATGTGATGGGACCAATCAATATAACCAATCTGATATAAGCCTATTCAAACTGAGTTGATATCATAGTGTCATAGAAAGACCTTATAGAGGCCACTAAGTCCAATCTCCAGGTCAATGCAGGCATCCTTCACTACAGAATCCCCAACAAATGATCAGTCAGCTTTGGTTGAAACCAGTGGTGGGATTCAAATAATTTAACAACTGGTTTTCTGTCCTAATGATTTCTTCAAATAACCAGTTTGCCAAACTGCTCAAAAAGTTAACAACTGGTTCTCCCGAAGTGGTGTGAACTGGCTGAATCCCACCACTGGTTGAAACACTTTCAGCAAAAGAGAGTCGGCCAATCCCAAAGGAGCATTCTTGTCATTGAGAAAATGAGTACAAATGCATATTTTTTTCACTAAGCTTTTTAAATTTTAATTTAGGTAACTACTAATTTTAATTTGATGGATTTTATATAAATTGTTAGCTATATTTGAGCAGAAATGAGGGATATGAATAAAATGAATACAAAAATAAACCTTTTCATAAGTCATAGAATTCCTCCATATTACACAGAGCAGGAAAGGAAAACTTTCCCTAAAATCCCATCACATATACCTGGACTGTAATTCCTAGCAGCAGTGGTCTCCATGGCAAACAATGGGGAATATTGAGAGTTGTCATTAATTAAATGTTTGGAGGGCCACAAATTCTTCACCCCTGAAATAAAACAAACTTTTTTGTGTCTACTTTGTAAAATAAGATTTAGCAATTGATAATCTGAAAGTTTGTTAACAGGGATAAATATAGATTTATATAGCACATTTACTAAGATTTATTTTACTATAATTACTGTCTTTTTTCCCTATGGAAGATGGTTAGATGAGTACCAAGAAGATGGGAAGACTGAAAGAGAGCTAATTGCCAGAAGTAAGTACTGAAATAAAATCCCTTGTACATAACTATATCCAAAGTACCAAATTACTAATTAAATATAAGATATAGCAATTTCTGGTAAATGATAATGCTGTTTTTTTTTGTTTCAGAAAATAGCAATGCATCAATGGCATTTCTTAGAGGTAAGTTGTATATTATGTTCTCTTCTTCTGCTGCTCAAATCAAATTAAATTAGATATCCTTCTTACCATCTTTAACCAGCCTTTACAGTAAAAAAGAGAAATAGTTTGACACATCAATTCATTATTGGGAAAGGGAAACAACTAATAGGACCATAAAATGACATATCGAACTAAAAGCTTCATGCTGTTCTATAACCTGGTGAATATATTTGGCCATTTGATATGTGAATTTGGGGTTAGCATACTTTTAAAAAGTAATAAATATAAAATCATAGTTGGAAATAATTGGGGAGATCAGAGCACCCATCATAAAAAAAAGATACCGCATGAGGACATGAGCATAGGTTTCTACCAGGGGTGGGTTCCTGCCAGTTCTAACCTCTTCTATAGAAGAGTTCCACAAATCTACCATGCTGTTTAGAACTGGTTCCAACTCCCTCCCCCACCCATCCACACCATGCTTGCCCTGCCCGCTGCTCACTGATTGGCTGGCTCACCAATCTCCCCGCCCACCTCTAAGAGTCCTATCTAAACCTTAAAGTCTTAAAGCTGTCATGTTTGAACATCCCTGGGGGGATTTTTTCTAAAGGGTTAGGGATGCAAGGGTCTTGTAACTTGACAGCTTTAAGACTTGCACACTTCATTACCAGAGTTCCTGAGCCAACATGACAGGAGGAGGAATTCTGGGAGTTGAAGTCGACAAGTCTTAAAGCTGTCAAGTTTGAACATCCCTGGGGTTTTTTTCTAAAGGATTAGGGGTGCAAGGGTCTCGTAACTTGACATCTTTAAGAGTTGCATGCTTCAAATGCCAGATTTTCTGAGCCAACATTTTGGTTGCTAAGCAAGAGCATTGTTAAGTGAGTTTCACCTAGGGTGACCAGACGTCCCACATTTGGCGGGACAGGCACGCCTTCTTATAATTTTTCCCGTGTCCCAGGCCATTCCCAAAAGATCCCGCTTAATTTTGGTGCCTTCTTCGACTCACTCTCCCGCCCATCTGCTGCCCCTCACATGGGCGGGGGAGCGTAGTGAGTGAGCGGGCGGAAGGACGGGGGAACGAGCTTGCCTTTCCAGCCCCACTTCTGGACAAGCCGTGGGAAAGCCTCGGCGAAAAGAGCCACCTGGGGCCGCCGCTCCTTCTCCAAACTCAGGGTAAGTGATGGGTGGGGTGAGTGAGCGGGCGGATGGTGGTGGGATCACCGCCCGATGCACTGCAGCTGACTCGCCCCAGGCCAGGCAGGCTGGGAGGCTTTGGGCGTCCAGGCGGGAAGAGCGCGGAGGAAGGCAGAGCAGCGCTCGACGCGACTCTGCTACTTCTGCTGGAGGAGCCCCTAGATAGGGAAGGCAGGTGGCAGGGCGGAGCAAGGGAGCGCAAGCGGCGGATCCCAGTTCATATGCAGACAGAGCTCTCCAGGCACAGGAGCGCTGGAAAAGTGCTCCTCTCATCACCCATCAGGACGGAGCATGCTCACTCGCTCGCTCCAGCCCTGCCTGCCGGCAGGGTTGACCCACACAGAAGGCAAGCCAGCCCTTCAAAGTCATGCCGGCAGTTTAGAACTCAGCCGCCATTCAGCGAAACATGTTTCGCTGAATGGCAGCCGAGGGGCACGCTAAAGTGCCGGCATGACTTTGAAGGGCTGGCTTGCCTTCCACATCGGCCCATGCGGAAGGCAAGCCAGCCCTTCAAAGTCATGCCGGCAGTTTAGAACTCCCTTTCCACAAAGGGAACCAGTAGAATTTATAGCAGGGTGTCAAGGCCTCAAGGGCTTCTTCTATATTTGCTTAAGTTTAGATTACCCATATTTTTAGGAGTATAGAACGCACCCCTCCCTCAAAAGAGGGTGAAAAGTTGGGTGCATCTTATGCACTGAATGTAGCCACACCCACCCACCAGTCCTCACCCTTTGGCCATTATCGGCCTCCCTGCATCACTTTTTACACCTATTCTAGACTGTAGGGATTTTGACAGACCATCACTGCCTCTATGCCTCGCGTTTTTGGCTTCTGCAAATCCTGTTTTTGGCCTCTGCGCATCTCGTTTTTGGGTGATTCTAGTGGGGATTGCCACTGATCCCCACTATTTGGAACCCAAAAAAACCCAATGCACAGAGGCCAGCCTGGAACAGCTGCTGCCTGGTCAGACGGGTTCCACACCATACCTGCTGTAGTCACAGGAGCTGCATGAGTAGATCAGCAGCATGTTTGAAGCTGTGTTTCAGCTCCAAAGAGGAGCTCACAACCAACAAACTGGTTGTTAACATTCACCTCTGGGAACAGCTGATTGGGGGTATTCTGCGAGGCTAATCCACCTGCCTATCAGCTACTTGTGCTGAATCAGGCTGCAATGTGTTGAAGCTGACGAGGCTGTTTGCTAAGGACACTAGCCAGATGAATACCAATGGATGCTGGTAGACAGAGGCAGGATTTTTTTTTCTTATTTACCTTCCCAAAAACTAATGTGCATCTTATACTCTGGAGCATCTGATACTCCGAAAAATATGGTATATAGCTGCTCCTCAGTAGAGGGTTTTTGACTACCAACATTTGGCATTCGGGGCAGTGGCGCAGAGGTGGGTTCCTACCAGTTCGCACCAGTTCGGTAGAACCGGTTCGTCAAATCTACCAAACCGGTTAGAAGAGATTCCACCAGAAAGCAGGCCACACTTACAGAAGATGTTCCAAACATTTTTGAAACCCACCACTGCCACACACACACACACACACACACACACACACACACTCACAGATAGACAGACTCACACANAGGGACACCAGAGCTTAAAACTTACAAATTTCTACAAGCAAAGCAGGTGCTTTGATCACTAAGTTCCAATCTCTTTCAAATCAGCAGGACTTTATTCTGAGTAAAATGAGCAGGATGTAACAAATCAATTTTTTCTCCTTCAAGTGGAGGAGTTTCATCAATGTGTGTGCGTGCACAAACCAGAGAGAATGAGAGAAAGAAAACCAGTAGTAAAATTTGGTGAAATTGGGTATAATTATTCTATATTAGCCTGGTTTATGGTGTCAGTATTTTTGTGCAGAATTGGTTTGGTTTGCTTGCTTGCTTATCTTAAATTTTCAAAGCCTGAGGGTAAGATTCAAAATTTTGCAGAACTCAAAAGATAGTGGACTTGATTTTCTAATTTTAAATTATAGAATAATAAGATATCCATCATTGATAACAGAATGACACAATCTCTGAATAGCGTAATTGTATTAGCAGTTATAAAGGTGCTGGTGTGGCAAGTAGACCAGTCACAAGTACTGTTTTTATGATAGAGAGAAAGGACTTATAAGAGGGCAAAGTATGTTAAAAATTTGTAATCTTCTACAAGTAAGAATAATCTCAACTTCTCTATATATGACACATTACACAGCAAGGCTGATTCATACGGCTTCCAGGAAAAGAGTCAAGAAACTAATTAAAAACAACAGATGAAATGTCTTGAACAAGCAAAATTCTCCAATGTTTTCTATTAAATATTAACAGCCTAGCATAAATATTTAAATAGTGGCTAGTGGTTGGGAAAGGAGGGAAGGGGAGAATTCAAAAGTCCCCTTCGCAATATTTTTTACTTAGGTTCTATTTTTCATCTGTCTTTTGTATCTTGTTTTCTTCATCCTTTTGTAATATTTAACGATATGCAATATATTAAAATACATATTTTTAATCAGTTAAGTATCCCCCCTCTATTTTAATTAGGGTGTTAACTTTTGGGAGAAAAGAAAATGTATTGTGTGCTTTCTTGGGAGAAGAATTTACTTTCCCTTTTTTGTGAGATAAAAAATATTTATTTTGTGTCCCGCCCTCCCAAACATCAGACCTCTTTAACTGAATGAAAACCCATGTTTAAACTTCTACGTAGCATCAAGATTTTTGGGAAATCCTTTTCAGGTTTAACATTTTTATTGGGTTATGGAATAAAATAAGATACAAAACAGGAAAGTGAATAGGAAAATGGTGGGGAGGAAGAGGGGGAAGAGAAGTGAGAAGTGAGGATAAGAAAAAAAGAAAAAGAAACGTTAACTTCTGACTTTCTCTGTTGCAGTAGAATAAGGCATTGGCATCAAATCACAACTTTTTGTTTTTTCATAAGCCATTTCTATAAAAATCTATCAATCTAATTGGTAAAACCCAAAATCAAAGTTTCATTCTTTTCCACTTCAAGCACAAACTTCAAAAGTAGTCTCTCCAAGTGGAAACAAAAGTACTTATATTCTTTTATTTAATCAAAATAGTCAGTTTTGCCATTTTAGCCAACTCCATCAGCTTCTGCAGACATTCGCCCGTGGTAGGAATCGCAGTGTCCTTCCATTTTTGTGTATACAATAGTCTTTCTGCTGTCAACATACTGTATATAGTATCAAAATTCCAAATTTTTTCTCCAGGTCTTTTTCCATTAGGCCCAAAAGGAAGAATTCTGGTTTCATCTTTATCTCCATTTTCAAGATTTTGTGTATTAAAATATGAATCATAGTCCACATTTTTTTTGCTTTATTACATGTCCATCATAAATGAGAAAAAGTCCCTTCTTTACTTTTACTTTACTTCCAACATTCATTTGTCATACCTTTATACATCTTAGATACACTATATTGCCAAAAGTATTCGCTCACCTGCCTTTACTCNGGTACACCCAATATCGCTTGCGCAGCTGCATTCTGGACTAATTGAAGTCTCCGAACACTTTTCAGGGGCAGCCCCAAGTAGAGTGCATTACAGTAATCCAGTCTTGAGACTGGATTTAATATCTCTTGTTCTGCCAGGAGACATGGATTCAGGAAGCCAAGCCCATATTCAAGAGCCTAGTCAAATGCAAGGGCAAGTTTTGAGAACCAAATGAATGGAATAAACTCAAGTAAATCACCCCAAACTCTTTTGCAGAAATAGTAAGATTTTTAAAAAAAAGAGTAATATAAGTGTGGATCGCCGAACGTGCCTTTCGTCCTGTAAAAAGTTAACAGAAACAAAAGTGTGGCCTTCAAATACCATCCAG